CGTTGGGTTTGTTGTGAGAATAGTGTTTGATTTTTGGTCAATTGAAAATATTTATGTCACGTGAGAGATATAAATTGTAATCAACTAATACTGGATGATGCACGATTTTGTTGGGCTGGCTGGAAATATCACTTTCTTTTATTCATATTCTTAAAGTTTTGTGGACGGGCCAGCCCGCGCGACCCGAGGCCCGTAGCGCGTGTGAGCCGGGCTGGTATTTTGTGGGCCCGCAAACCAAAGGGTGGATTTTGACGGGCATCTGTTAGACACGTTTACATGCAAACAATACTTCTCTCTCTATAACAGAAACTGAAACTGGAAAATCAACACACACACACAGAAAAAGCATGCAATGTTTCAATTGCAATTTCACAATTTCAACTCTGGAAATGCTCATTCGCTCCCCAAATTCCATTCTAAGGTTATTCGATTCTCATTCTCCTTTTTTCTATTTCCCCTGTTGTTAAAAAATGGCCGAATTTGAGTTCCTTTTTTTTTGTTTCCCCTTTCGTGGTAGCAATGGTGATTTACGTGCAGTAAATTTGGTGTTAATAGTGGTTTAATCAAGTCATTTGAAGGCTAATCATAAACTCTTTTCTTCTTTGTGATATGAAAAATGCATCAGTTTGTAAATTAACTAAATTCTGCACATTCTTACATTACCCGAATTTGAATGCATTTGTTTGATAGATGTTTTGTGTATTTGTCTGAGTGAATATCTTCTTATTGATTCCAGTGGAAACTATGAAATTCGGAAAATACCTCACGAAAGAAAAGGTGCCCGAGTGGACAGATGCCTATGTGGACTACAACGGGCTCAAACACACGTTACAAGCTATTCTGAATCAGACAAGACAAGTCCCGAATCCATCAACTGCTCCTCAAAACAGAGCCTCACTTTCAAGTGACCTCGAGAATCAGGTTATTGATGTTCACACAGTTGAACAAGACAATTTTCGAAAGCTGTATAATACAAAGCTGCTCGTGTCCCGAAGAGACTTGCGTAGGCATGAGAAGGAGATAGTTTTTTTCGAGAAGCTCGATAACGAACTCAACAAGACAAATAACTTCTACAAGGATAAAGTGGAAGAAGTGACTAGAGAGGCCAATTTGTTGGAAAAGCAAATTGATGCTTTAGTTGCTTTGCGAATTCGAGTGAATAATCCGGATTTCGATGCAAATAATCCGGATTTCGAAACAAGTGATAGAAGTCAGCCGGGACCCAGCTCATCTACTGGTGAAGCAATTCTGATCTTAAAACTTTTAGCATAACAAATATAAGTTGAAGTTGTTTCCTTTTTTATCAGTTCAATAACTTTATGAATATTTTTTACTAATAGAAGAGGACTCGAGAGGTAAAGCAGAGTACTCTGGTGAGATATGTGATGTTCCTCCTTCGAAAAATTGTGTTAGCTCAATAGATGGGGGCGAAAATGAAACGTCTGTTTTAGAAGTGCTCGATCGAGTAAAGATTTCGAATACGCTTGATGGTCCGATGTCGACTATTAAGAGAGTATTCAAGGAACCTAAAGAGAAGGAATTGAGTTATAACAAAGAAGAACTGAAAGTGGCTGAGGGGAGATTGAAGGTTGCGTTTATCGAGTTTTACCAAATGCTTTGCCGTCTTAAGCATTACAGGTGAATATATCCAAAAAAAGAAAGAAAGAGATTAAAGTTTTTTTTTTTTTTATTTTCGGGAAATATATTTGCTTATGTTTGGTAATGACATTGATTGATTGATTGCGTGAACAAACAGCTACATGAATCTTTTGGCCTTTTCAAAGATCTTGAAGAAGTATGATAAGGTATTCTTCTAATGTTGCTAAAATTGCATTGTTAATGGTTTCTATTTCCTGAGTTCCTGAGTGTTTTTTATAGGTAACATCAAGGAGTGTCACGAGATCATACATGAAAATCGTGGATAACTCTTTTATTGGAAATTCTGATGAGGTAGAGATCTGAATTTTCTTCTTGTTTCAATTATGTCTGAATAATAAATAGAAGAGAAGAAATAAAGAAATAAAATAGAACGAAACTTTAACATGATTAATTAAAAAATGTGAAACCATTTTAAACAATGGTCTAAACTTTTTTGTCATGTAATTACAGGTCACTAATCTCATGGAATGGGTTGAGATGGTCTTCATCAAGAACTTTCTCAACTCCAACCGTCGTGAAGGCATGAAATTATTGAAGCCTAAACAGAAAAAGGACAAGCATCGGGTAACATACTTATCGGGTAATTAATGTCTCTCTCCATTTACATCAAGCTTTTGTAAATGCATCCATAAACAAAAGCTTATATGTTTCTCTTTTAATTCATTTGTAATGCCAGGTTTCTTTTCTGGTTGTTCGGTTGCTCTATTCGTCGCTGTTATTCTGCTTATTGAAGACAGAAGATTAATACAAAAGAAGACAGCAACTTTATACATGAATACTATATTCCCACTCTATAAGTAAAAACTTAAACATGTTTCAGCTCCTTTAATTTCTGCTGTATAATTTTGGCGAAATTACATTTAAACTATTTGCAGTTCATTCATTCATTTTACCCAGTAAATATGGTGAGGTTAAATATGAATCTCTGCAGTTTCTACATATACATTGTCCTTCACATGATGGTATATGCTGCAAACACATATTTTTGGAAGCGTTATAAGATCAACTACCCATTCATATTCGAGTTCAAACAAGGAACCGAGTTAGGCTCTCGAGATGTATTTCTTCTCAGCAATGGTCTTGCGGTGATTGCTCTTGCCACTTTCTTGGTTCACTTGCACGTAAAGATGGACTCAGAAACTCAGCACTATGAAACTTATGTTGAACTTCTCCCTTTGGGATTAGTCATTGTAAGATATATATATATATTATTATTATTAATATATATAAAGGAAAATTCATTTTTTATGGATATTGATTGCCCGCATTCGTGCAGGTGATTGTTGGCATTATCTTTTGCCCATTCAATATCATCTACCGTTCGAGTCGTATGTTTCTTGTTATGTGCATGTTTCGTTGTATTTGTGCTCCTCTCTACAAGGTGCAATATAACTTGAAGAACTCAATTAATAAGATACAATAGTTTCTAAGTTTGAGTTAATTCATTAGATAGTATTCCATTGTCTTGTAGGTTAAACTGCCCGACTTTTTCTTGGCGGACCAATTAACAAGCGAGGTCTCATGTTACACTCAATTCATTTCTTACTGGTTTTTTTGTTGTTGTTAGTTGTCACTATTATTATTTTTATTAAATCAGCTGGCTACTACTATTGATGCTTGTGTTTAAAGTAGAATTAAATCTGTTTGTCTACAGATACAGGCTCTGAGGAGCTTCGAATACTACATTTGCTTCTATGGAAAAGGAAAATTGTCTAAGAAATTGATCAGATGTGATAATCTTGATTTGTACAATGTTTTCTATTTCATCGTTGCAGTTATACCATACTGGTTTCGTTTTTTCCAGGTTTCATGTTCCTTACCTTTTCCTAGATAATTCATTCTTCTTAACCTTACAGAAAGTTATTCATGAAAGCATTTTATTTTATTTTATTTTTCTAAATTCATTGGTACACGGAGTTATATATCAGTCATGCATTTTTCGTATTTGAGTGTCATGCACCTATGATTTGTTAACATTCAATTGATTCTTGATAAATTTGTTAGTTTCACTTGTAATTTTCCTTTTCTTTTGTAGTGTGTTCGCCGGTTGTTTGAAGAGAAAGACTCTTATCATGCATATAATGGTTTGAAATATTTATGGACAATAATTGCGGTTGTAATTAGAACGACTTTCGAATTGAAGAAGAACATAACATGGAAAGTATTAGCTTTAGCTAGCTCACTTATTGCTACCATAGCAAATACATATTGGGATATTGCCATCGATTGGGGACTTCTGCAGAGAAAGTCGAAAAATCCATTCCTCAGAGATAAACTTTCAGTTTCTCACAGAAGTGTGTACTTTGCAGCAATGGTATGACTTAAAGTTTTATTGAATCTGAGGCTCTAATAGTTTTATGTTCCGTTCATTAGCCTTCTCATTTTTCCTCTACCTGAATTTTATTTGCAGGTCTTGGATATTCTTCTCAGGTTCGCTTGGCTACAACTTGTCTTGACATTAAACGTGCACTCGTTACAGGGAAAGTCAGTATCAACTATATTTTCATGTCTGGAAATCGTTCGGCGTGGCATATGGAACTTCTTCAGGTAACCTTTCAATGGGGACTTTTAAGAACTTTTTAAGACTTTTTAAAGTGAGTGACTTTGGTGGATTTTGTAAAATTTACTTTGATGGACATTCTGAGATTTCCATAGCAAAATCTCAGATTTCTATTGAGACTTTGTCCTTGTAATTTTATTAAAAAAGTCTCCAGAAGTCTTCCAATTTATAAAGTCTTATAAAGTGTTTCTACTTTGAATACTAACTTATTGAGACGCTTAGAAAGTTTCAATTGAATACATTGAGACTTTTAGAGATTTATAATTATAAAAAGTCTTTAAAAGTTTCAACTGAATACAAGACTTTGTAAAAGTTTCAAAAAGTTTCAATTGATTACACCAGAATTTTAAAGTCTTTAAAAGTCTTAATTCATGATAAAGCTTATTTAAGTAACTTGATTTTATGTAATATCCTAACTCATTTCCATCTGGAAGTCCTTTTCCAGCTTCCTCTCGGTAACGAGATGAAAGAATGTGTAACTTTTCTTACGCTAGAAATTGATGTCCTATAATAGTGCTGAAACTAATGATCACTTGCATTGTGCGTCTGTTTAATGCAAAATATGCAACACACAAATTTCATGTATATATTTGTTTACCATGGTACACTAAAATTAAGTGATAGCAACTAATCGTTGTCAGGTTGGAAAACGAGCACTTCAACAACGTTGGCAAGTATCGAGCATTCAAGTCGGTGCCACTTCCTTTTACTTACTATGACGACGAAAATGACGATGAGGAGATTGATAAGGATGATTAGTATTTTCATTTTAGTATTTATTTGTTTTTGTTGTTAAGTAAAATTAGTTTTGTAGCGATTTAACGGTTTCATTTTCCATAACTGAAAGACTTAGAAAATTTTCAAAATCATTTTAAGGTGAATGAGAAATAAATTCTAAGTGTTCAATGTGGAATATTTGAGCTTATGTAACTTAAAGGTTGTTGGGTTCATGAATATTTTATTTTGACAAATGTTTGGACAAACTAAACGAGTCATAATCATGCATTATGTATGCTAGAATTGTAGAAGGACTTGTTGAGGACGAGTAGGAGAAAAAAGAACTCGATTATGAGACGGACGAGCGCGTACGAGCTCTCAGCGTGCAGCTGTGTGCAGAGCCTTGGCACGGGCGCGACGACCTGTTCTGCCTTGTGGAAGGGCGCAACTCATAGGATGTACTTTTTTTCAAAATGTTAGTTTATGATTAAAAAAAAAAACACATACATAAAAAAATGTATAAAATAAATTAATAATTTATAATCATTTATGTAATTTTTATTTTCTCCATTTAACCAATTGTACGGCTACAATGTAGTTTCGATTTAAATCAAACACGATTACACAGAGTTTTCCATGTTGACCTCTTCATAAAGACAACTCAAATGAAAAAAGGCAAATAGATCCAAAATCACCACAGAAAAATAAAACATTAAAATATTCGGAGAAAAAAAATAAAGGAAGGGGTTTAAGAAGAGAAAAGGGTTTAGCAGCAGCAGCCATGGGCGACTTATTGTCCAAGTCTTCACAACCTGACTCCACCGCCACCTCCTCCTCCCCCACCGACGCCGTCGCCGTCCCCATGCCATCCCCAAACTCCGAGCTTTCCCAAGCCTCCCAAACCCCAGAATCGAAAACCCCAACCGAAAAATCTATTGATCCGCCATCAGATCCAGCGACGGCACAAGTTCAACCAAATGCAGCAGAAACTGAAACCCTTCCCGAAGGAAATACTGAAGAATCTACCAAAGACGGTGACAATGTCGAAGAAGTAGGAGATGAAGAAGAAGAAGAAGAAGAAGGCGAGTGTGGATTTTGCCTGTTCATGAAAGGCGGCGGATGCAAGGAGCCCTTCATAGAATGGGAAAAGTGCGTGGAGGAAGGCGAGACGAACAAAGAGGATATCGTGGAGAAGTGTTTCCAGGAGACGGCGGCTCTGAAGAAGTGTATGGAGGCGCACTCCGATTACTACGCTCCTCTCTTGCAGGCGGAGAAGGCCGCCGAGGAGGAGGCCGCGAGACAGTTAGAGCAAGAGAGAGAAAATTCGAAGGAGGTGTCTGTGGAGAAGGAGGCTGTGGAAGAGAAATTGGGCGGCGATGAAAAGAATTCTGCTTGATTTTGGATTAGAGTTTTGGAGTATTGGGATTTTTGTTTGGGGTTTGAATTTGAAGCTTTGGGATTTTCTTGATCTGCTATATTGTTGTCGATGGCTTGTACTTGAGAGCAAATTTTTTCTCTGAGGTAATTCTACAAACACTTTGATGAGTTGAAGCAGGAATTAGTGTATTCTTTGAATAATTGCTGATGGTGCTGATCTTTCTTTTTTCTTTTTTCTTTTTTTTTTTTTTCGGTGGGAATGAGTGAAGAACTAGGATTTTGGTTCAGTGTTTTTTACTATTGGGCTACTCTTTGCTTTGTCCAATGTGAGGGGGATTCTTAGAAGGATAATTTTCTTTGAGATAATTTGACACACATGTTTGAGCAGGAATCAATATGTTCGTCCAATAATTATATGATATTGAAAAAAAAACTCTTCAATGCATATTGTTGATGCTTGCAATGAGGATAGATGAAGAATGCCATACAAGTTTTATATATGCTTAAAGTAATTCTCATCATTTTGTATTCCCTCGTCAAAACTTGTTTATCTGTAGATTTTGCTTCAATCTTCATTTGAGAGTTTTACACTAGTGAAGCACTTGAGATTTACTTCTAACCCGCACTTTTCTTTTTGTAGTTTCACCAGTAACTGGGTTTATTTGGAGAAACACATGACTTTAATATGTGCTGTGTTCATCAATAGAAAATGAAAAGGCAATTTGTGACGACAGGGATTTTGTCGACGAGTTCATTCTAGATGAAATAGTTTTATTTGCTCTGACTTCTGAAAAACATACATCTCTCTGTCTCCTTGAATTAAGATCAACTTGCTGACTTGTAGAAGAATTTCAGGATGTTTGTTCAACAGCAACAATGAGAAGGAGGCAAAAATTTAGATACATCTAAATCTATACACGAAAAAAGGCATTACATCTGCATTTACATTCACTTTGCAAAGAAAATGACTGGCAGGAGTTGAACCTTTTTAATTTTTTTTTTTTTTTATTTCTCCTTCTCCTCCCTTCTTCTACTCTATTGATTTGATTTTACCGTGTCCTGATTTATACTTCTACTCTACTCTACAAAAAATTATAGGAAAGGCCAGACAATATCTCTAGTCATCCTTGTCCTCATCTTCATCTTCATCATAATTGAAAGGCAATGGCACTGACTTGAAAGCTCGGTATTTACCCACATTGTTAAGGTGTTCATTCTCCAGTCTGCACTCACAAAGACCACATCAATACTACATTAGGATAACTGATAACAAAGAAAAATTAGACAAAGCACCCTGAAGGTCATTTAATTACAATAAACTTCATGTCCCTCAAGACCACAAACATTCACATTTAACCTTTGTTTCTATTTCATAAATTCACTTCAAATTTATTGTACCTGAAGAAATTCCATATACCGCGACGCATAATCTCAAGAGAAGCCACAAGCGAAGTCATGGTCTGCCGGTGCAGAGAAAAAACAGTGATATTCATCACTGTTTGCATCCATGCCAGTCTCAACACCACATTCAAAACCTGCACCCAAAAAAAATGAATATATAAATAAAAAAAAAAAAAAAAAAAAAAAAAAAAAAAGAAGTTGGCTAAAAATTCTCTCTTTATCTCTGAAAAACTCACCATGGCCACAAAGTAAACAATTTTGTGTGGGATAACCAGTTTATCTCTCAACCACTTGTTCTTAGAGTGCCTTTGGAAAAGCCCCCAGTCGATAACAATATCCCAATACGTGCTAACAAGTGTGGCAATAATCGAGGCTATCCAGGCCGTTAGCCTCCAGTAAGGACTTCCGTTGAGAGTGTATGCTGTTCGTGTGCTAACTGCAATAATTGTCGACAAATACTTCAAACCATTGTACCCATGCATAGGATCTTTCTCTTCCACCAGCCGTCTCAGACACTGCAAACAAACGATATGGAGATAATCCAAATTAATAGAAAAGCCCCCATAATTTTGAAAATTGCAAGATAGTTGGGCTGTATCTGAAGTGAAGTAGTATTTGTTTTGTGCACCTGAAGGAGGCGCCACCAGTAGGGTATTGCAGCCACAATGTAAGAGAAAATCCTGAAAACGTCGTGTTCTTGACAACTGTTTTCCCTCTGTTTGTAGTCTCCCCAACCATAGTAGCAAATGTAAAACTCTAAACTCCTCAGAGCTTGAACCTACATAAAAAAAAGATTGCATATGGTTATCTTATTTACTGTATTGGTTTGCACTAATTCATCGGAAAACTGATGATTTTTTTCCCAACAAGTACAAACCTGGCTTGTAAGCTGATCTGCTAAGAAGAAGTCCGGTAATGAGACCTGCAATGACGAACGTAGATTTCGTATCAGCCAAATGTTACTTCTATAATTTTCCAGATAAACCTCAAGAATAAGTTCTATACATAACTAAAGTTGATGATTGAAATGTGGTTACCTTATAAAGAGGAGCTAAGACACAATGGAACAAGCAGGCAAGCAAGAAGTAGCGGCTCGAACGGTATATGATGTTTAGAGGGCACACCATAATCAGAATCACAAGCTGCCCACAAACGGTAACTCCATGTTGAGTATGACGTGGACGCAAGTAAAATTTGATTTTATTTTTTTTTTTTCCGATAATAAAGGAAATAATAATGTTAAATAAGTTTTTACCACTACTAATCCAAGAGGAAGGAGTTCAGTTAAGCCTTTATAGTCCTGAGTAATGGGATCCATTTCCATGTCCAGATTGGCAAGTACACTGGCTAAAGCCAGCACACTTAAGCAGAAAGTGAGAAGCAAAATCTCTCGGTAGCAAAGCTCAGTTCCTTCTTTGAAACCGAATATGAAGGTGTAATTGACTCGGTATCTCCTCCAAAAGTATAGGTTTGCGGCATACATCAGCATGTGCAGAACAACGAACCCAAACAAACTGTAATCGGAATTTTAAGTTAACTATTTTGTAGTAGGTTCAAAGATGAAAAGAATATGCAAATCCTTCAAGTCAAATATCTAAAAAACTTTCAATGGGGTTAAGGACAAGGTACATT